CTGGTTTTGCCTTTCCCTTCCCGAGGCAACGCGGGACTGGAGCCGCGTGGAGCTGCGCCGGCAGTAGCAACTCCTGACAGCCCCAGCCGGATACCTGAGCGGAGCCCGGGCGGTGCGAGCGGAGGCCGCTGAGCGGCAGGAAAAGGGAGCTGGGCCAGCCACAGACCAGCCTCCATGCAACACACCCTGGTGAGGGAAAGCAGCGGGCGCTCCCCGGGCGCGCGGCGGGGGGTCTCTTTTGGCCGGCCCTGATTTTTTTTTTAGAGCGGAATATCATGCCTGTGTATAGGCCTCTCTAAGCGTCAGCCTCTTGCCCCCAACAATCTGGGTCCTCATTTTACTGACCTTGGAAGAATGGAAGGCTGAGTCAACCTTGAGCTGGTCAGGATCAAACTTCCTGGCTATAGGCAGAGTTATGCCTCCCTGCCTTCCTTCCTTCCTTCCTTCCTTTTTTCCTTCCTTCCTTCCTTCCTTTTTTCCTTCCTTCTTTCCTTCCTTCCTTCCTTCCTTCCTTCCTTCCTTCCTTCCTTCCTAATAGCACTTGGACTTATATACCACTTCCCAGTACTTTTACAGCCCTTTGTAAGTGGTTTACAGAGTCAGCATACTGCCCCCAACAATCTGGGTGCTCATTTTACCCACCTCGGAAGGATGGAAGGCTGAGTCAACCTTGAGCCTGGTGAGATTTGAACTGCCAAATTGCAGGCAGCCGGAAGTCAGCAGAAATAGCCTGCGGTACTGCATTCTAACCACTGTGCCACCACGCCTCTACTTTTTTTTTGAGATTTCCTCCCACATTCTGCGCAGTTAGAAGAACCCCCAATCCCACTCCTGGCTGGCCCCTCCCTCCCCACCCCCCCCAGGAATCCCCACATGGCCCGTTTTGGATGCAGGTAAGTACAGGGCGCATGCGGAGGCTCGGGCAGGGTGAAAAACAGGCCTCCTGGAAGTTTGGGAAGGCTGGAAATGAGCCTGTTTCCGGCCTCCAGAGAGCCTCCAGAGCCCAGGGAGGCCGTTTTGGTCCTTCCGGAGACTCAAGGAAAGCCTCCGGAGTCCGGGGAGGGCAAAAATGCCCCCCCCCCGCACTGTGGTGCAGGAGGCTGACTAGGCCACGCCCACCATGGCCACGCCCACCCAGTCACCAGGCAGAGAACTCTTTTGCTAAAATTTTTGAAGCCCACCCCTGCCTACAGGACCTCATGCCATGTTTTAAGACCTTTCCCGGAGATTAAAAGAGAGAGAGTGGATCTTACGTCCTGTGGTAAGATGTTCGAAAGAGCAGGAGCTCAGGCAGAAAAGTCTGTTCCAGAATTTAATGTTCTCCTGAATCCCACCAGCCGAAATTCCTTGGCTGATGGGATCTGCAGTACACACCCCTCTGTCAGCATGAGTGGGGCGGGCCAAACCTATTTTCTTGGTGTCTTGTCTTAAACTCAACAGCAATGTTGCTGTCTCCTAATCGAAGTGGTGCCCATTCGTTGCCATCTCCCATAATGCCCACCAAGTCAGGAGGACAATTTGTGTAGCTCAGGGTTGGGCTTCAAAAATTTCTCCAGTTCTCTGCCTGGTTGCTGGGTGGGCATGACCATGGTAGGCGTGGCCTAGTAGGCCTCCTGCACCGTGGCAAGGGGGGCATTTTCATCCTCCTGAAAATGGCTTCCTGGGGCTCCAGGTGCTTCCTGGAGCCCAGAAACGGGCCTGTTTTCACCCTCTCCGAGCCTCCATGTGGGCCCTGCACTTATCTGGCATCCAAAATGGGCTGTGTGGAGACTCCTGGGACGGAACGGGAGTGATGGGCAGGGCCAGCCAGGTGTGGGATTTACCGATCTGCCGAACCAGTAATTAAAAAAATGATATAATTAGCTACCGGTTCGCTCAAACCTGGGCGAACCAGTCGCAGCCCAGCCCTGGTGTAGCTGCTTCCAAGGCTATTTCAGTTCTAACGTAAATGCAACTTGCCAAGGGATTCCACCTCAGTCACAGCTCATTAATGTAGTCATGCATTGGTGGGAAAGCAGGATGAGCCACAGCCTCATTGTGTGTGCAAAATACACGTGAATCAGAAAAGCACTGTGACATTTTAGGGAGAAGTTCTTTTCAAAAAGGGTTTGCAGACTGAATCAGCCAGCCTTCCTAGATGGCCTCTTCAGCTCCACGGAGATTTTGTGGGCATAACATGAGGCTTAATGAAAAAAGGCCCCCAAGTCAGATGATCAATTGGTCATCTGGAGTTTTGCAGATCAACTTTATTAACCCTATCTCTCTATGAAAGATACAAAGTCAGCGTATTCCCAGATTCTGGACTGATGTGTTTTGCCATCGACTTCTTGGTTTTGAACAGGAAATCGGCAAGGTTCACCATGGAAGTTAAGCAGGTTGTAATGGTAATTCTTAAATGTTCTAATAAATATTCGGCAGGAATCCAGAAGTGGGGGTTGAGGTCCTTTGGAAATGAGCAAATAATAGCCTGACACATTTGTAAGATGTGACATCCCATTAACATCTGAAAGGTCATGAGAAAGTCCAAGGAGTCACAGCCCTGATCCAGTTGGAAACCTGTGGTGTTCCAAGCATTGCTAAACTACAGTTCTCCTGCTTATTGATTATGCTGTCTGGAACTGATGGACATGGACGTTCAGAACATCTGGAAGGCTTCTGCTTGCTTTCCCTTGGTCCACATTGTTGCTTTCCGGAGATAAGAGGTCATGGATACAACTGGGTATCTGCTACCTCTGAGCAACCTCTCATATAGACTATGGAAAGTCTGAAAAGGTATGTGCGCCAGCCAGCTGGTCTTCTGGCTTCTAACGTACAGCTGGCCACCTGGTTTCTAATGCATGTGCCAGCTGGTCTTTGCGCACGCATGCATGTTAGAAACTGGAAGACCAGGTGGCCGGGCATGCCTGCATGCAACAGGAGCTGTTCTGATTTCTGGTGCTCCGGTGCACACAAAGACCAGCTGGCCAGTGCACATGTGCACGTTGGAACCCAGAAGAGCAATCGGT